AAGTACACACTGTAAAAATACTGCAGTGAAAAGTTAAATAAAGGTATGTAAGTAGGCTGTAAGCTGGAAAATGTAGAAGCAGCCAATTAAAAATAAAAGTAGCTACTCAAAGCAGAAAGAAAACTGTCCCATATGACTGTTGTACTATTATACTATATCATTAGATTATTATTCCTCGTGCATTAATGTAGCTGGTTGAGGTTGAACTATTTTGTATCAGACTGCAGTTAATGAGGATTTTTATTTTAATCGGCTGATTATTTTCTCCATTAATTAACATTAACATTTACTAATACCAAAACAGGAGGCAATTAAATTTACTGTCAAACAGCCAAACTGACGTAGTTCTACTTGCTGCGCTTGTATAAACTGTTAAGTAATTTAATTTATATCAAAACATCCTATTTTTAAACTCTTCATACATTTGATGTATTTTTTAAAGTAACTAGTAACTGAAGCTGTCGGATGAAGTAAAAAGTACAATATTTTCCTCTGAGATGTGGTGAAGTAGAAAATGGCATGAAAAGAAAATACTCAAGTTCAGAACAAATACCTTGTGTACTTCAGTCCAGTACTACTTTCAAATATTTAACACACCCTCAGACTCAGTGACTCAGCAGCAGTTTTCCTTCTCTCTGATAGAAAAGTGACTTCTGCTGCTGGAGCTTCCACATAACAAGTAAACATTGTAATATAACTGCTTTCTCACACATGGTTCACTATTGTTACAAAACACATTGTGCAGAATTTTCTGATCTATAGCTTGATTTGTTTCATTCTACATGCAATTATTATGCATTTATAGCGCCTCCTAGTGGTCAATTTTAACGAGAGTAAAGCTGATGATACACGGAGCAACTTTTAGAGCAATGGTGCTGTCAATGGTAATGAGTACAGATCACTACTGTAATCCCCTTCTCCCGCCACTACGCCACCCTCCCCGCACGCCGCTATCCGTTCAAAACATTGCCCAACAACATTGCTCAAAAAGTTGCCCTGTGTATCATCAAAGTGTATGTGTGAGGTGCTTATGTAGAAATATCTTACAAGTTTTGTGTTGATTGGACAAACAATTTGTATTTTATCACCTGCAACTGGTTTGCATTTATAGCGCCCCCGGGTGGTCGATTTGAATGAGGGCATGTTGGACTCGGGATCGATTCCTTCCTTTGTGACGGAGGGTCTTTTCTGTCTGTGCAGCTCCATCAGTAAGGAGAGGGAGAACAAGTGTCCTGGGCCCTTCAGTGAGAGCAGCAGAGAGGGAGCATCACCTTCACCTGGAGTCCAACACCACGACAGACGGATAACAAAACTAAATCCAGCAGAACGAGAAGATGACTCATGTTGTTTTCTTCTCTTTCTTCCAGCAGCTGAAACTGATGAACGGCCTGACGCTTCATTTCCACCTTCTCATGGTGACACACACTCACTTTCTACTTGGTGCTCCTCATGATAGTTTGGCTGAAACCTCGTCATGTCCCATCTGAATATATTTCATGTCCTCACTCTACAGATTTCCTTCTACAGTCCCGCAGCAGCCTTTCCCTCAGACCAGGTCAGCACATTCTTCTTCTTCTTCTTCTTCTTCTTCACATGCTCACACTAAATGAACTAACACTAAATACACTTGCTACTGTATCAGCTTCAGATTCTACTGATCCACTGCTCACACTGATATTACTGACATTACATCTGACCTGGACCTCATTAGACCTGGACTCCACTACATTTCAGGCCAAATGCTGCACTTTTTACTCACTCTGCACATTATTAACACAAACACACAGTAACTATCACATGTTGATGGATCATGTTAGCTTCAGATAGCCAGCGCTATATAAAGGATGCTTTATACTGTTACTGGGACTCGAACACAGTACTTTTACACTGTGCCACTGCTGCTTTTGCTTAGGGAAATGTTCAGAGTCCTTCTTCCACCGCTGCTTCACATCATCATCTCCATGGAAACACTCTGATTATTGTTTCTTGTCTGCAGCTTCACTCACTGATGGATTTTCAAACTGTTCACTTGTCACAAACCTGTGGACTCATTTCTTCTTCTGTCTCTTCCAGGCTGTTGGGGACACGCCCTGAAGACTCGCTTCCAGCTGTTGCACCTGGAGGACAGCTGACACCACGAGTCCCAGCAGCACCTGTTCTGGACCAATAAAGACCTTGTGCTGTCGTCATCTTCCACCTTTAGGAAAACTTCAGCCACTTCCTGTTTCCCGCTCCATAACCCCCAGCTTCTACCTCTCCAGAACACCGGGAGGGGACACGGCCCCCTCCCGAACCCGACGCCGCGGGACCGGCTCCGGGTACCCGGCCGCACGCGGGATTCGAACCACCGCTGCGGCGCCTCGCGGTCGCCATCGAACCCCACGCCGCCACCGAGTCCCCTTCACAGCTGAACCTTTTCTCCGGGCGCTTTTATCTTCTCACTTTGGCTGTTGGACTTCAAAAGTCACTGAGCCTCATAAGGATCGAACCCACAACCTCAGAGCTTCTGAGCAGCCTTCTAACACTCTGAGCTGTTTGATCTGAGACACTGACTCTTTCTTTCTTACAGCTTTTCACTTTGTTGTTAAAGTTGAAATAATAATCTTATTATTGTAGTTCTTCAAACTAATCAGTAGAATTAATCCATTCTCAGATATTCTGAGTCAAATTTAACAAAGATATTAAGGATTTCTAACAAATAGAATTTCATTTTGTGAAATAAAGCTGAATGATAAATTGTAAGTTGAATTTCTAGGCTTTTATTTTGGTATGTCCGAGTCAAACAGTCACTAAAGTGCCGTTCAGAGAATTGATGAAGTTACTATTTATTACTGCATCATTTTTTATAGTGTAGAAAAACTAAAGGTGAAATATTCAGATGGAAATGATTTGAAACAGAGAAAAACTTTTTCTGATAAATAAATGTTTGATTTTCAAAGTTGCTGTCGAGTCTTTTTCTTTTAATCGACTAATATAATAATCGATTTGACACAAAGATGAAGTGAACTTTTTATTTGGCTCCAATCAGACACAAACGCTCGTTCATCATTTATTCTGACTTTGATCCTCTTTATCCTCCCTCGCTGCCTTCCTTCCTTCCTTCCTCCCTCGCTGCCTTCCTTCCTTCCTTCCTTCCTCCCTCGCTGCCTTCCTTCCTTCCTTCCTTCCTTCCTTCCTCCCTCCCTCCCTCGCTGCCTTCCTTCCTTCCTCTATTCCTTCCTGCTGTCTTCTTCCTCCTCCCTTCCCTCCTCTATTCCTTCCTTCCCTCCTCTTCCTCCCTTCCCTCCTCTATTCCTTCCTCCCTTCCTCCCTTCCTCCTCTGTTCCCTCCTCTCTTCCTTCCTCCCTTCCTCCCTCCCTTCCTTCCTCTCTCTCTCCCTTCCTTCCTCCCTCTCTCTCTCCCTTCCTTCCTCCCTCCCTTCCTTCCTCCCTCTCTCTCTCCCTTCCTCCCTCCCTTCCTTCCTTCCTCTCTCTCTCCCTTCCTCCCTCCCTTCCTTCCTCTCTCTCTCCCTTCCTCCCTCCCTTCCTTCCTCTCTCTCTCCCTTCCTCCCTCCCTTCCTTCCTTTCTCCCTCTCTTCCTTCCTCTCTTCCTTCCTCCCTTCCTCGCTCCCTTCCTTCATTCCTTCCTCGCTCACTTCCTTCCTTCCTTCCTCGCTCTGTTCCTTCCTCCCTTCCTCCCTCTGTTCCTCCCTCCCTTCCTCCCTCTGTTCCCTCCTCCCTCCCTTCCTCCCTCTGTTCCCTCCTCCCTCCCTCCTCTCTTCCTTCCTTCCTCTCTCTCCCTCCCTCTGTTCCCTCCTCCCTCCCTTCCTCCCTCTGTTCCCTCCTCTCTTCCTCCCTCCCTTCCTCCCTCTGTTCCCTCCTCTCTTCCTTCCTTTCTCCCTTCCTCCCTCTGTTCCCTCCTCTCTTCCTTCCTTCCTCCCTCCCTCTGTTCCCTCCTCCCTTCCTCCCTCCCTCTGTTCCCTCCTCCCTTCCTCCCTCCGTTCCCTCCTCTCTTCCTTCCTTCCTCCCTTCCTCCCTCCGTTCCCTCCTCTCTTCCTTCCTTCCTCCCTTCCTCCCTTCCTCCCTCCGTTCCCTCCTCTCTTCCTTCCTTCCTCCCTTCCTCCCTCTGTTCCCTCCTCTCTCCCTTCCTTCCTCCCTCTGTTCCCTCCTCTCTTCCTTCCTTCCTCCCTCCCTCCCTCCCTCCCTCTGTTCCCTCCTCCCTTCCTCCCTCCCTCCGTTCCCTCCTCTCTTCCTTCCTTCCTCCCTTCCTCCCTCTGTTCCCTCCTCTCTTCCTCCCTCCCTCTGTTCCCTCCTCTCTTCCTTCCTTCCTCCCTCTGTTCCCTCCTCTCTTCCTTCCTTCCTCCCTCTCTTCCTTCCTTCCTCCCTCTGTTCCCTCCTCTCTTCCTTCCTTCCTCCCTCTGTTCCCTCCTCTCTTCCTTCCTTCCTCCCTCTGTTCCCTCCTCTGTTCCTCCTCCTTCCTCCCTCCCTCCCTCCCTCTGTTCCCTCCTCCTCTCTTCCTCCCTCCCTCCTTCCCTCCTCCTCCCTCCCTCCCTTTGTTCCCTCCTCCCTCCCTTCCTCCCTCTGTTCCTCCTCTCTTCCTTCCTTCCTCCCTCCCTCCCTCTCTTCCTCTCTCTTCCTTCCTCCCTCTCTTCCTTCCTCCCTCTCTCCCTCCCTTCCTTCCTCCTTTCTCCCTCTCTTCCTCCCTCCCTCCCTCCCTCTCTTCCTCCCTCCCTCTGTTCCCTCCTCTCTTCCTCCCTCTCTTCCTCCTCCCTCCCTCTGTTCCTCCTCCCTTCCTCCCTCTCTTCCTCCCTCCCTCCTCTGTTCCTCCCTCTCTTCCTCCCTCCCTTCCTCTGTTCCCTCCTCTCTTCCTCCCTTCCTCCCTCCCCCTCTCTCTCCCTCCCTCCCTCCCTCCCTTCCTCCCTCCCTTCCTTCCTTCCTTCCTCCCTCCCTCCCTTCCTTCCTCCCCCCCCCCCCCCCCCTCTCTCTCTCTCTCTCTCTCTCTCTCTCCTCTCTCTCTCTCTCTCCCTTCCTCCCCCCCCCCTCACAGTTTGGGGGCCACTTTAACGCCTCCAGCCTTCTTGTGCGTCTCTCTAAGCCATGATATCAGGATGCTGTTTGTCTCCGCTGGCCTTTCCATCTGAGTCCAGTGTCCACACTCCTCGATGTGTCCTCTGCTCAGGTTCGGGATCTGCAGTCCACCAACAGAGACCGGGTCAGATTCATTTCCAATAATCTATAATCACTCTGTCTGTCTTCAGGAAGGACGCTGCTGTTTTTCTCACCAAGTCCTCCATCCCTTTGGAGAAGGCCGGCAGCAGAACCTGGTCTTTACCTGCCGTCACCATCAGAGCAGGCATCAGCAGCTGAGACACACACACACAGTGACAGACAGACTTTCTTTGTGCATCTCAGTCCTCTAAAGTGGAAATAAAAATCAGTCTTTGAACTTGAAGTCAAAGCATCAGTGAGCCTCTCTGCTGCACTGGGTCACATGTTCCTTCATCACCATGAACACACTCTGTACTTTATTCTGACTCAGTCCCACACACACCGTCCTGCTGCCCCAAACCCGCCACCTGTGGATTCATCCGCCGCTGAAAATAGTCCCTAACAAATGCACTGCTTCCTGTCTGTTGGATAAAAACCACAGTGAGCAGCTGCTTTAGGAAACAAAACCGCAACTAAATATCTGAGATGTTTTTAAAGATTTCCGTCTTCAGTAGGAAGCGACGGGCTCGGAGCTGAGGGCCACAGACAGGAAGTCAGACGCTACTAAGCCTGCAGAAACCTGACTTATACAGCAACATCAGAAATAGGGTCGGCACTTTTTAGGGGCAAATGTAAATTTCTCTTCAGCTGATCTTCGTCCAGCTGCTGCAGGAACACAAACACTGTGACAGATAATCCAGCAGCCTGATGGTGACTTTGATGTTCACCTATATTCTGACATTAAACCTTTTCCAGCAGGACGATACGATATGTCGGTTTCCGAGAAGTTTAAATGAGCTGAAAATGCTTTGCAGAACTCCAGGATGTGTAGAAACCCAGTTTTAGAGCCTGGTTTTGTTTTCTTAAATGTTTGTTTGAGATGCTGGCGTCTCATAATGCGCTCTGTAACGAACCTTTGCAGTGGGACGAGAACACATCCACCTCCAGTTCGCCTCCCCGTTACGATACCAGTTCAACGGTCTCCTGTGAAACCAAACACAAGACATCGACTCTGTATGAAAATGTTAGCGGCCTGTGAACAGATACCGTGTCCTGTTTTGAGCCACCTGAAGCCTCGCTCTCTGTACTGGCTGACGTAGTACTGCAGGTCGGCCTCCGTCAGCACGGAGCTCCGGGGAATCTGCTCCGGCAGACCCACAAACAGACCACCTGTAACGGGACGTGTCAGTATCTGCCGGGCTTTTTAATGAGCTCTTCAAATATCATTCGGGAGGAAGTCCCGGCTCAGACTTCAGGGTGGAGGCTCACCTCGAGCGCAGACTCCTGCGGTGCTGACGGCAGGACGCTTCGCCTGAAGACGGAAACACAACATTTCTTATGTGACACGAAGGGGATTTTTCTGCCTGTGCGGACTGGACTCGTGCGTGTGTGTCTACTCACCGCTTCACCGCTGCTGAAAAAGAAAATCTTAAAGGTCCTCTCCAAGTCTTTCTCCAGCTCGGCCTCCGCCGCGCCCTGCAACACACACAGGTGGACACTTTGCGTTTAGGTGGACAGATCCAGAGCTCTATCGTCATGCGAGTCCCACAGTCAAATCTCTGGCTCGTCTTCTTTAGCTGCCGTCTAGAAAAACACAAATACTTTGGTTTATTTAAATGATCCTTTTCACATTTCTGGTTGTGTCCAGATGAACTAAACTAGATCTAAAGTGTCTGTCAGTGAACTTTAAAGCTGTCTTCTGAACTTTGGACAGAGCCAGGCTAACAGTTTCCCCCCGCTTCCAGTCTTTATGCTAAGCTAGGCTAACCACACCAGGACATACACATAATGTTACTGAAATTCTTCACTCTCATAAAAAGCTGTGAATCTGGCTGGACAGCAGTCTCACTTTTACTTAAGTGAAGCTTCTGAGAAAGGAAGCAGGTGCTTCTCTTCCTTTAATGTGGGACTGTTGTTTTGTTTCTCCTTTCTGGAAATAAGCAGTCGTTTTGGAGAGTGGTTAAATAAACCGGAGCCAGAATCTCCTCTCTTCTCACGTTCTGGGCCTTTAAAGCGGGAATTCATTCGGTCGCAGGAATGTTGATGAATATTCACTGTTTTTATCAATATTTCAATCTTGTGGAAGCTTTGTTATTTGGAACCCAGAAATAGTGTTTTGAAGAAAACTCCCAATACAAGTGAACATATAAACAGTAAATAAGGCCAAAACATGGACATTCGCTGCTATATTTTAGGAAAAGTGTGGAATAACTGTTGTGTATTAGTTTCTTTTCATCACATTTACAGTTACAGCTGTATTCTTGCTGTGTTAGAAGATGTTCTGTTGAATTCTAATGAGCTGGATGATGGTTTGATGGTGATTTTGCTATTAAAATATAGATTTTATTCCAGGTGAGGATGAAAACATCATATTTTCCTTGATTGCATCTCCATTTAGTCTTTAATGGACCTTTCAAAGGAGACCAGAATTCTGCATCTAGGCCAAATGGTTGAGGAGTTTTTCCTGAGTCTGGTTTGTTATTTGAGGCGTTTTTTCTGTTTCAAAGAGCTTCAGTTGTTCTCCGCCACTGAAGAGTCAGACAAAGCCTGTTGGAGACGGAAGTAAAACTAACTATTACCAAGGGAGGTTTTCTGAAGTCTGGGCTCGTTGTTTAATGTATAGAAAGAAAGAAAGAATGAAAATATTCTTTTTTAAAACAAATGTGCTGCTTCATTTCTGCAGGATGTTTAGATTTCGTGCTGCTTATTTTATTGTGGCAGCTTTTTTCCTTTTACTGCTAATGTGCTCAGATTTGTTTGTTTTGTTCCTCATTGATTTTCTGTAATAACTCGTCTTGTGTTGCATTATGTTGTGTATCTGCTGGAAAACCAGCACAGCTGGAGACTCAGCCAGCAGAACACAACGCTGACACATCATCACCTTCTAAATATGAAACACTAGCTGACAGACAGTTGCCTGTTTGCACATGTGCAGTCATACATTTATATGTTTGTTTTTAACCCTTCCTTTTCTCTTCTAGCTGTCAGATAACTGTGAAGCAGCTGGTCTCTGACAGAAAGGGACAGCAGACGAAGATCTCATCATAATGGAATAAAGAGCTCAGCCTGTCGGCTCACGATATAACGTGCCGTGTGTCGTCTGTCGTATAAATATAAAGCCATCGTTGTGTTCACCAAACAAAGATCTGAACTGATCTGAAGTCCCGCCTGTGTCAGCGTGTTAGCATGCTGCAGACAGACTTACAGGTTTCTGGAAGTAGAGCTGGTAGTCAAATCTGGGTTCAGCCTTCAGTCTCTCTGCAGGAGTTACAGAAGGATCGGCGGGGAACAGAGGAGTGTTCAGAGACGCCGCAGCGCTTCACACACAACAACAAACAGGTTTTACTACAGCATCGAGCATCTGGGAGGCGCACCTGAACCTGTGCGTGTGCTCACCTGACTCTCTCAGGATGATACTGAGCCATGGTCCACACCAGAACGCCGCCCCAGTCGTGACCCACCAGGGTGACCTGAGGTATCGCCTGGAGAAGATATTATAGATCTGGGTTCTCCATCAGAACACGACGCGGACGACAAACTGAGATAATCGCCTGAATATCTGCAGCAAGTTTAAAGTCTCTGCAGGTTTATTTTGAACTAAAGTGAAGAGAAACTTTCAGACGTTACTGTAAATTAATGTCACTGTTTCTGGACTAAACAAACTTCCATCAACTCTTTTCATCATTTCAGTTAATAGAAATTTGTGCCGCTGAGGTAAGAGTGCGTGTGATATGTTATTACTCACCATTTTGTCCAGAAATGTGATTAAATCCTTGAAGAGAGAGAAAACCTTTAATATTATTCTGTGTAAGCTGCATTACTGTTTGTGTGGCGGTGACACGATAACAAACAGAGGGAGAGATGGTTAAATCTGGTTAAATACAACCATTCTGTCAACATGATGTCACACTAAACCATTAAAGGCTTAAACAAGTCGACCAAGAACAATAAAAAATGCCTTCATGAAGCTAAAAAACTAGGCTTTGCTTTGGGAAACGCTTTGTTTACTTTCCGATGATGTAAAAACATGTAAAACCCTGAGGTCACGTGGAGCAGCGCAGTCATCCTCAACACTTAATGTGTGTTTCAGTAAATGTTTCTCTCCTTTTGTTCAGTGAAACCATGAAGATGAGCGTGTGTTGGTGAGTTTGTACCTGGCAGAGCTGCTCCTGAGAATATTCCTCTGTGTCTGTCGGCGGAGAAACGACAGGTAACCAGGTAAGAACATGAACCTTCAGAATCTGCTGGTTGTAAAATGCTTTTTATACACAGTAAAAGGTCAAAATGGAAAAGTCCTGACGCCAGACGGAGAAAATACTCCACTGCAGGTAAAAGTCCTGCATTCAAAGCTTCCTTTAGTAAAAGCATGTAAGTTTTATCAGCAACATGAACTTTAGCTCTTTTACTGCTGGAGATGTTGAAGGTGGAGCTGGTTTTAACTCCTTTCTCTCCTGTTGGGGATTTAGTCTACAGCAATGCATCACGTCCCTCTGATCATCTGGGAGGTGTTGATACTGTTTGTCTGGCTATATGAATAATGGCTGTATCCTCATCTTCTCGCTCAGAAAGCCTTTCCTTCTCAGGTTTCTTCTTCTGTGACTGTGAGCGAGGCCCTTTTACCCTCTTAACCTCTAACTTAGACACATTAGACGCAGCAGCTTTTAGATTGTTTTAGTAGCAGAAAGGAGCAGAAAAAGTGCAGAACAGCCCTTTTTCATTTTGACATGATTATTTGGGTTCAATACAAAAAGATTTCCTCGATGATGAAGCTGAAGTGCTCGTGTTTTCTCATGTCACTGTTTTTAAAGTCATGTTCAGGGTTCTGATTCTTATGATTATCAACTCTTATTTGGAATATTTGGACAAACCTACACGCAACAATTTAACTCTAGATTTCCATGTTCTTGGATTAATATTTGACTTTTTCTCCAGATATTTCAGCCCGTCGTCGCCATATTTTAGTAAATATATAAAGTTTAGTTTCTATTGTGAGATATTTAACCGTCCTCGGACGTTTATATTTTTATTTCCTGTTGTATGATCTGCACCTGTTCTGCTGATCTTTTGATTCTGCATTTATTTGACTACATTTTGTCTATTATACGTGTATCTGTTTAACTCTCATGGAAACATTTTTACTTTATCTTTTGATTATTTGTAATTTAAACTTGTTTCCATTCAGAGGAGCAGGATTTTTTGGTTCCACGTTAAAAAGAGCGATTTAGTGTTGACCTTTGACCCACACACACCTGGGGGCGCTGTGGACTCTCCGTACCCCTTCATGTCCAGAGCCAACACCCTGAACCCTGCTGCTGCCACGGCCGGGATCTACCAGAGAGAGGAGAGGATGTTCAGGCACACGAGTGTTTGCTTTTAGTTTCAATATATAAACGTGTACAACATCCAAACTTTCAGGTGAAATCCAGTCTGAACACGTTACCTGGTACCTCCAGGAGTACCAGCTCTCAGGGAAGCCGTGACACAGCAGAACTGGTGGACCTGAGCCCATTTCAACATAATGAGTCCTCACACCAGGCTGACGCACACACAGAGGAATTATCATTAATGTCACGAGAAAGCAACGTTTCAGCTGCGTCTTACTTCCATCATTTCCTAAACAGACAGCAGGAGGAGAATTCTGTGTTGACCCCGATCCAGATCTTTACCCTGATGGTGACGTAACCATGAGACACTTCATCTGGGCTGCAGGAGGGCGGAGGACTCTCTGCTCCAGCAGCCTGAAACACATGGAAGTGTGGATGTTAGCGTGCTGATGTTAGCGCAGCAGCTGTCTGAGGTCAAACTGACTGATTCAGGCAGCAACATGACCTTTCCTCTGGCACCAGCTGCTGCTCCTGCATCACCCGCCGGTTCCAGCTTCTATGCACTAAAGCCTCATTTCTCTTTTCTTTACCTTAAAGACGCAAATTCTGTCATGATGGGGGGCAGCGGTTCCCGAGAAACGTGGAGTAGAACAACAGCTAAATGAATGAATGTGGGAAAGCTGTGATGCTGCGAGGCTGTCAAGATTCAGGTTAGCAAAATGAAATGCAAACAACAAGATGGAGAAGTTACAGAGTGAAAAAGCTCCTAGATCACGTTTTCTTTAGCTTTTTGTTTCTCTGACAGTATAAGATCAAATAGTTCCGGGTCACACCTGAACTCCAGTGAAGTCGGCCAGTTTGTCCAGAGCGTCGGCCAGATTTTCCACCAAGACGGCCTTCATCCCCGCTCCCTCTGCTGCCTTCACACCTTCCTCATCTGCGTCCAACCACAGAGCCTGAAATCAGACCGACAGGCTGAGCGCGCTGTCCCGGACCAGGATTTACACTCGTGTGTGTGTGTGGGCGTGTCCTCGACCTGCTGCGATGTCACTCCCAGGTGCCGCAGAGCAGAGCTGAACGCGGAGGACTCGGGGACCCTGTGACCCGAGCGGCAGGACTGGAGGACCTGGTCAAAATGGCCGCCCAGCAGAGACAGAAGGCGGGCTGGACCGTCTCCAGCCGCGCTGTCATCTAGCCAGTGATTGGCCAGCACGGCCGTCAGTAACCCTGATGGGATGGAGGCGTAGAATCGGCCTTTGGTGATGTCATCGGGCGCCACAGCTGTGTGTGTTTCCCGTGCAGATGTGTTGATGCATAGTTACCACGGTGACGCAGACCGGCGGCTGCCTTCAGCACGGCTGGTTGGACGTCCATCATCGCCTCCCTGAGCTCCTCCAGCAGGCCTCTGACTGACCAATCGGACGGCAGAGTCACACCCCTGACCTGGGCCTCCTTCACACACTCCGCCTCAAAGGCTGCGATCATCTACACACACACACAGAGGATGGAGGAGGCAGTAAAGGGCCCATCCAAGGACTCTTCTTCACCTCCATGTTCAGTCACCTTCAGTAACAGCGAGGACAGAAGACATCAAATAAATCAAGAGATGATTTTGACCTCACCCACCTGAGACAGGGTCACCTCACCTCTCTCCGCCCGGCTCATGGCGCTGTCCCTTCGGGACGCCACGGCGGACAGAAAACCACTGAGAACCACAGAGAGACAAACAAGATGAAAGACGTGAAAAGAAGCGAGTCCACGTGAATGAGTCAGTAACATTAACACGAGTCTGTCTGGTGGCTTTAAAGGAGGTTAAACATGTGACAGATGCCACAGATCAGAGTTCGAGTGCTGTTTGTGTGGAGTAATGAAACCACAGGAGACTCAGCTCACACACACTGTGTCTTCACCAGCGCTGCACACTTATAATCTGCATCTAGTTCAGTCTGCAAATATAGTGAAGGCTGAGCCTGCACCTGATTGGGTGGCACAGCTGATACAGTATATGGCCAAAAGTAAATGGACAGTGAGTATTTTACTTACTCTCATCTTCATTCGCAGACACTTTTATCTAAAGCAGCTTTCATTTGGGGTTTCAGTGTCTTCCACATGTGGACGTCCGGGTCAATAGTGCTCCTTCAACTCTGTGTCCCTTTCCTGTTTCTACATGGCAGCGCCCCCGTGCACAAAGCAGCTCCAGAAAGAAACGGTTTGCTTGATTAAAGGATAGAACATTAAATTTATGGAGCAGATTAACAATTATTAACAACTTTGCAGCCATCTGTGTAAACCAGATTCTACAGTACTGTTGCAGATGTACATCTCAAATTAAAATGGATGGAAGCTGCCAAAAAGAAATTTACTCCCACATTTTTTATGAGCCATCAGTAAGTTTTACAGCTTTACTGAGGACTGAACTGTTAAAGTCCAGAAGGAAGCTGGTGACTGTTACTAGTTTGGTAGATGTGAATGGTGCTACATATTTAACCATTTAAGACAGAAGGCAGAGCTTAAAATAAGTGAACTGTGATCCCTGTAACACAAAAACAATGTGACTGATTCATCTTTGGCAGTGACCTATTAATCATGGGGGTTCAGCTGTCCATTTACTTTTGGCCATGTAGAACCTGCTGTCTGATCTTGTTTGCAGTTGCACAATGTGTTACAGAGTAACAGCAGTGTTCTTCTTTTAATAAGATTCATCAAACCTCTGCCACACCGACACACTCCAGGCACATTTCTTTCCTGCTTGGACAGATTATTTAACAGGTTTTAGAGATTTTAACGCAGGATGCACCGCAGTTTCCCTAAAACACGAGTCAGATTGCGTAATTTTTTACAGTGCAGAGATGTTGTCTTACCCAGGCAGGTGATGCAACTCCTCCAACCTGCGGAAAACATCACGAGGGCTGGAAGAGACAGCAACTCCCCAGAAGTTGAACAAGACGGCTTTCCTCTCAGCCATCTCCTCTGAGCCTGAGTGAAAGGAGCTTTAATGTTTCTGTCTCTGTCGTCCAGCAGGAATGTGTTTTCTCTGCTGCTGCTGCAGGAAGGCTCTGCTCACGCAACAGGGGAAACTTTGCCCTTTGCACGGACTAACAGAAGCTCCGCCCACTTATCCTGCAAGTTCAGGCTTGACTGGGAGAAGGGACAAAGTGAAACTTCTCTGTGCCAATATGCAAACGTCATGATGCCATCCATCCATCGCCAACTGCTTATCCTGCGTACAGGGTCGTGGAGGGGCTGGAGCCTATTCCAGCTGACATTGGGCGAAAGGCGGAGTACACCCTGGACAGGTCGCCAGTCCACCGCAGGACATCTTGATGCACATATGGAAAATATTTATCAAGGAAATTACATCACCAACATTAATGTAGTTTGCTTGTGTGTTTCAGGCTCAATGAGGACAAACTCTGGATTATTTAATATTTTGTATTTTATCATGTTTTGTTGAACAGTCTGTACACAAAATCTGATCTTCATGAAAAACAAAATGTCCCCTCAAATGTTTGCCTAACACCAATTTGAATTATAACTTTTCCCCAACTGTAATACTTTCTTCTGAATGTAAAAATAATTGTTGCCATAGACAAAGACATAGATAGAGGAGCGGTGCTGTTTATTTCCAAACTTTTCAGCAAAGAACATGTGCTTTGGGAGAACTTTTCATTTAGCTCAGTTCACTTCTGAATTAAAAGTTGATCATTTTTATGCTACAGTACACAAATGTTGTCAGCTGAATACATTTTGTAGTTGATTCAAACTAATTTCAAAGACACTTAAATCACAGTTTTTTCTGTTACTTCAAATTTGTCGGTTCAGAAGAGAAAACAAAAGAAACACATAAGAATAAATGATCATTTAAAACAGTGAACAGCAGCTCGTTGGACACAATGAATGTTGTCACACGGTCAGTGAAAAAACATGTAGTCCTGCTGCCCCCCAAATACTCCCTTGAGCACCACCACAAAAAACAGTCCCCAATAAAAGCACTACTTCCTTTTGTTTGTTTGACTAAAAACTACAGCCACGAGCTGCTTTAGAAAAATACTGAGCCTTTATTAAAAAAAAGTTAATGTTCATGAATCCCTTTAATTATTAAAGCCTACAGTGCAGTTTGAGCTTAATACAATCATTTAAACAATTAGTGGTCATGTTCAGTCAAGGCCCACGATATGTTCATGTTTAACAATTAAGTAAATCTCTTTAGCTCTGGAGGTGAAGGGTACATAGAAATGACCCACTTGTGTAAACAGGGGTAGTAGATAGTTTCTGTCAACTAAAGCCTGTGTTTTTACTTGATGCAGTGAATCCTTTTTTGGTGCTTGTTTATACAAGGTAATGGATAATTCCTGGACAACTGCAGTTTGTGCTTTGTTAGTAGATAAATCCATACAGTGCAACAACATAACCGGGCTCAGCAGCCTCTATGGACACAACGTTACCTAATGGTAGCGATGAGGAGACCAAAGAGGACGTTGATGGAGGAAGCAAAAAAGAGAGAAAACAGCCACCAAGCAAGAAGCTGCCAGACGTTGGCGGGAGCTTTGTGATAAAAGTCTGCAAGACAGACGTGAGCTGGTCTTGTTTCTGTTGGACTAGTCAGTAATATGGCTCTTGTGTTGTCAGACTTGGTTGATGCTTAGCTGTGTTAGCAAAGTTGTTGACTTGCTAGTTTTTGATCATAAGTAATGTATTATAACAAGCGTATGTGTACAGCTGTCCTATTTATGATATCGGCACATACACAAAAATCTTACATATTATGTTAATTTAACATAAGATTAATGTAGGCATAATAATCAACTTCCTGCACTTCCTTCCAATCCTGCACAGGTTGAGTTTGTCAACAGTTGTCTTTGTTCAGCACCATTTCTTTATCACAGGTCACACAGAGACAATGAGGAGCCTGGCCCCTCCCAGAATCCAAACCCAGGGTAGAGAAGATCAGTGAAAGTAGTGTAGAAGGTGTGGAGATGGATCAGTTTGTCAGATGAGACTGTGTAGAAGGACAGAGTGCCAGCTGGCCAGTCCAGATACACTCCCACTTTGTTGGAGGACGAGGTGGGAGGAGGATTTATGGTTGTTTTGCTTTTATTGTGCCAAGCATAGTAACCATCTTGACTGCAGTGCAAACTCCAGGAGTGCTTGTTCTGTCCAAAGCAACAGTCATCATTGTCTTTGTAAGTCACTGCTATATGAACCTCTTTTTCCCATTCAACTTCCCAGTAACAGCGACCAGTCTGACCATTTCTACACCGCAGCTGGGGCCACTGCTCATACCTCTCTGGATGATCAGGATATGACTGCGGCTTACTCAATGGTATCACCTCTTTGTTGTTGGCAAACAGGAAGAGATATCTGTTTGCAGTATTTGGGTCCAGTGTGAGCTCACAGGCATCTGAGAGAAAGAACAAAACGCATTACTGCATACATTCTTGCAACTGAAATTATCAAATGGCTAAATATAATTGAGAATTCAAACATTACAGTGGTCAGGCATTTAAATGAATGATGATCTATATGGTTCTAAATGTACAGCTTTTACTTCATGAATCAAATTGAAAATACACTTACACTTCTTCAGATCTGGTTTCATCCACTGGACTCCACCCGGGTACAGCCTACAACGAAGAATTCAGCTTTAAACCGTGTAACCCAAGCTGAAATATGCTCTACAGCCTACATTCAACATTAGTTCTGACAGATGGCAAACCTCCATCCTACCTGAGATTGTCCCATCTCCAGTGTGGGCTCTCCAGTCCAGCAGACAGCAGCTTCACTCCTGAGTCTCCAGGATTATTATAGCTCAGGTCCAGCTCTCTCAGATGGGAGGGGTTGGAGCTCAGAGCTAAGGCCAAAGATGCACAGCCTTCCTCTGTGATCATACAGCCTGACAATCTAGTAAGACACAAGATGCATGTCAGATAATCTAATGTCAGAAGATATGTGACTGTCTCAAACAGATGACAAAGTAAAAAATAGAAGGTTTGGCACTTGAAAAAGTTACTGAAGGAATAAAGTTGACGTCCTGAACTTTTTGTACTCGTCATGTCAAGGATTAAGCATTCCTCAGTGCAGAAAATTAGAGGCTTTGTGTAACTTATGGAAGAAGACAGTTCTCTGTTAACATGTTGGCACAATAACATATGTTGAAGAATTCAAGTTGCCTTTCTGTAGTTTCTTTACATTCAAAAAATGTGGCGTGGAGTACTCTATTGATGTGGTGTAGAAAAAGCTCTTTATGATTGGTCCACCAGTATCTGTTTGAAATAATAACAATAAGCTTTGTGTTTTCTTTAGGATTTTTTTTTTTCTTGGCTCAGTTGTTGACATAATTTCTGCTATTTCAGGTTTAACAATGGTGGCAGAAAATAATGCAGAGGGGCTTTCACAAAGTGCAAAATGAATTAAAGATCATATCAAGATATATTGAGCTTCACGGTTAATTCTTCATAATTCATTGCATTGAAATGGAGATATATATGGCCAGCTGCTAAACATGTTGATCCTGACCTGAGAGCTTCCAGTTCACAATGAGGACTCTTCAATCCAGCAGAAAGTAGCTTCACTCCTGAATCCTGCAGGTTGTTGTTACTCAGGTCCAGCTCTCTCAGACTAGAGGACTGAGAGCTGAGAACTGAGCACAGAGCTTCACAGCTTCTCTCTGAGAGGTTACAGCCACTCAGTCTGGAGAAACAACAAGAAAAAAGATCTCAAGACAGCATTTATTGCATGTACCGTATATTAAATATTTTCAACTCTCTGGGTACCTACATAGCTTTCTTGGAGACTTTGACCACTGGCAGCAGCCTCAGAAAAGCCTCCTCTGAAGCAGAGAATTTCTTCAGGTCAAACACATCCAGATCTTTATCTGATGACAGTAAGTAGAAAACCAGCGCTGAACACTGAGCCGGAGAGAGTTTATCTGTGCACAGACTTCCTGCGCTGAGGTACTGTTGGATCTGTTCCACAAGAGAACGATCATTCACTTCCTTCAAACAGTGGAACAGATTGATGCTTCTATCAGTAGGTGGATTCTCCCTGATCTTCTGCTTGATGTATTGGATTGTTTCTTGGTTGTTCTGTGATCCATTTCCCCTCTCTGCCAGCAGGCCTTGTAAGAGACTTTCATTGGTTTGCAGTGAAAGACCAAGGAGGAAACGAAGGAACAAGTCCAGATGTCCATTTGGACTCTGCAAGGCCTGGTCCACAGCACTCTGGTAGAACAGTGTCACTTCAGATTCATCTTTTGTTGTTTCAGACTTCTGGGAGGTTGATTGTTCTTCTGCCAGCAGATTGACACCAGAGTTGATGAAGGTCAGATGGACATGAAGAGCAGCCAGAAACTCCTGAACGCTCAGATGGACGAAGCAGAAGACCTTGTCCTGGTACAGCCCTCTCTCCTCTTTAAAGATCTGTGTGAACACTCCTGAGTACACTGAGGCTGCTCTGATATCGATGCCACACTCTGTCAGGTCTGATTCATAGAAGATCAGGTTTCCTTTCTGCAGCTGCTCAAAAGCCAGTTTTCCCAGAGACTCAATCATCTTCCTGCTCTCTGGACTCCAGTGTGGATCTGTCTCAGCTCCTCCATCATACTTGATGTTCTTCACTTTGGACTGAACCACCAGGAAGTGGATGTACATCTCAGTCAGGGTCTTGGGCAGCTCTCCTCCCTCTCTGGTCTTCAACACCTCCTCCAGAACTGTAGCAGTGATCCAGCAGAAGACTGGGATGTGGCACATGATGTGGAGGCTTTGTGATGTCTTGATGTGGGAGATGATTCTGCCGGCCTGCTCCTTATCTCTGAATCTCTTCCTGAAGTACTCCTCCTTCTGTGGGTCAGTGAACCCTCTGACCTCTGTCACCATGTCAACACACTCAGGAGGGATCTGATTGGCTGCTGCAGGTCGTGTGGTTATCCAGAGGCGAGCAGAGGGAAGCAGGTACCCTCTGATGAGGTTTGTCAGCAGCACATCCACTGAGGTGGACTCTGTACCATCAGTCAGGACCTCATTGTTGTGGAAGTCCAGAGGAAGTCGACACTCATCCAGACCGTCAAAGATGAACACAACCTGGAACTCTTCAA